CAAAGGAATTTAGATGCATTAATGCATTTTCTCAGTTCTTTCTCTGAACTGAAAAAGTTAAAACTGAAAATAGGCTGTCTGACAAAGAAGTGTGCTCTTTGGACCCTTCAGATCATCCAGAACCTCCCCGGTGTAACAGAACTCTTGTAAGAAAATAATCTGAGTTTCTATATGAATTTGTCAGTTTTTAGGAAGAACAGTGTAGCACATATTAAAAGGGATAGTTCACCCAAAAATGTTGTTACAACCTATGACTTCTTTCTTCTGCGTAAGGTGAAATAAGATATTTTAAAGGATGGTGGTGTGGCAAACAGTTTCAGTTCCCGTTGACTTCCATTGTATGGAAAGGAAATCAATGGGGACTGAAACAATATTCTTACCAATATTATTCAAAATATGTTCTTGTGTGTCCACAAAAGAAAGAAAGTCATACAGGTTTGGAACAAAATGTAGGTGAGTAAATGATGACAGAATTGTAATTTTTGAGTGAACAATCTCTACAAAACATTACCACATTTCATTCAATGAGTTTCAGTATGAATGAAAGTGAGATTACACACTGATTACTCACACAGTCACTCATTAGTGAGGTATAGAGTTCCTAAGATAGACAAAATTGTTTAGTAAACAAAACATTTTTAAAAGCCACTTCGAAAGAACTGTTGTAATTTTATCTTGCAAGCAGATGCAAATGAAATACCCCAATTGGTAGTACATGGCTCTCATCCATTTTAATCGTTATGGAATTATTCAAATGATTTAAATTAAATGCAAATGTCAGGTTTGTTTAAGACTATGTAGTGATGCTGTGCTTTGTGCTTTCTGGTTACAAAGGTTTATATGCAATAAACAGTCTCAAAAATGCACAGACCCTAATGACTGGCATCAGAGATGCAACCAGAAAGTGACGATTCATCTGAATTCCCAGGGCTTTTCTATGGAGAATGAGCGAACGTAAGTTAAAGGGGTCATATGATGCTTTTTTAAAGATCATTATTTTGTGTATTTGGTGTAACAGAATA